ATTATTTTTGTTCTTCGTATATCATATTTGCGATGATTTACACACCAAAACTCCAGCACTTTGTCTTATCTTTTTTCGCATATTTAGAATATTTTACTTTTGTCAGTGATGTTGCCGAGGAGGAAATGGAACTACGCAGCCTCATTATTTCTGGACTTTCCGAATCTGTTGTGTTAACAATTACACTGCCGATCCATGTGTCCCACTGTCATTCTGCGGAATTTTTTGTTATATTACATTTGTGCGAGTTATAATCAGCATCCTTTCGATTCTCCTTTTTGGCCTGCTTTCTCGAACACAGTCTGTTAGTTTCCCTCCGACTTGTTGGATGAATTTTTCGCGTCTTCTCACCCCTTTCGGGCGATTCTGACTCGGCTTCAGAAGAGTGCTCCGGGCTACTTCCATTCTCGGCCCACTTTGTACCCATTGATTTGTCCGGTTTGATCATCGCCGTCGAATCCCCGGACTGCCACACACCCAGACAGCACTCGTAGTGATGTGAAAGCGGTGTAAACCCTCTGATGGGTTTACACTACTCTCTGATGGGTTAACCCCTCTTATGGGTTTACGCCACTTTCACATCAGTACGAGTGCTATCTGGGTGTGTAGCAGTTCGGGAATTTGGCGGCGATGTTAGCACTTGGAAAAAACTCCATTTTGGGAACCCGAATGCTTCTGATAACGTATTTCCGCTGTATTACTTACACCATTGTTTCGTGCGCTGCTGTTTCCTTAAATTTACATAAAAACTATCGGAATTTGCAGAGGAAGAGAGAGAGAGAGCGGGTCAATGGGCAACTCGGGCAGCGCGCACATTCCTGGCGGCGGAACCGAAGGCTACCACGTACTGAGGGTTGGTTCTAATCTTCGACTTCTTGCCATTGAGAGTTTGTCAGTTTTCGATTTCTTTTTTTGGTTCGCTTGCAGGTGCAAGACAATTCGCCGGGCCATGTCGCTGGGCTGGAGCCGTTCTTCGACTTCATCGTCTGCATCGGCAACACGCGACTGGTCTGTTGCGCTTCATTTCCCGTTTATTGGCACTATAACTTGTGTACTTTCCATTTTTCAGTGTATTGACCGAAAAATAACAAAATATTTTCAAAAAAAGTAAGCCTAGATTAAGGGGAATGCTGCTTGCAGGATTCGGACAACGATGCTCTCAAGGAAATCTTAAAGCAGCACGTGGAGCGCCCATTGGAGTTGACCGTTTATAACAGGTAACACTTTTCCGTCTTCTGTTCAATAACATTCTTTTTCTTGTTTTTTTTCGTTGACCACGTTTCCGTTATCCGCTCCTTTGTCTTGAGAAAGTGGACGGGTTTTCCGGTTCAGCTGCTCTTTATAGACGGTGATGCTGGTTTCGAAGCTGCCTGATCAGGCATTTTTGTATGCTTTTCTTTCAGTAAAACGCAAACGGTTCGTCAAACCCAGATTACACCGTCGCAGATGTGGGGCGGCCAAGGATTGCTTGGCATCTCGATTCGATTTTGCTCATTTGAAGGGGCACGTGAAAACGTGTGGCATGTTGTGTATGTGCAGCCGAATTCGCCAGCAGAAATTGCCGGCTTACAATCCAATACCGATTATATTCTTGGCGCTGAGTCTGTACTCAATCAGGTTTGCCTATCTGTCTATAATTTTTATGCATGCTTGTGCGTTAATCGTCTCGTGTTGATTGATCAGTGAATGCTTTAGGCCGAAGATCTCATCGCGCACTTGCAAGCAAACGAGGGCAAACCGATCAAATTATATGTTTACAACACCGAATCTGATTCTGTTCGAGAGGTACGTTCGATTACTTCTTCCGACAGAATCCGTCTTATCGTGATATGACATTTCTAGCGCGGACTGGGCATTACCAAACGACAATAAGATCCAAACCGTAGTAACACAGTGAAGACGCCCCGCAACAGTTCCGTCCAACTAAGCTTGACCAGTACAGATCATCGTTTTTAGCAAGCAGCAATGGTTTAGAGGTCGTCCAGATGTGTTTCTTCGGTTGTCATGGAACCATGATGCTACAACTTCCACTCCAGTCCATTGTAGGGCCACATTCGTGCCATAAGAACATGTATTTTTCGTAACATGGACAATATGAACTAGTACTATTGATATTTGAGAACACTTACTGATTTAATAAAACAGGTCATTGGCAACGAAGCTTTCCTTACCTCGTTCATACTGCTAACTTTGGGCATAAAATTCTCTTCTTATTAGCCGCCTTGATGAAGTTGATCTTACACCACAGCAATTACCCAACCCGAAAAGCTTCCTCAAATTTTCTGTGTTCTCACATTGCAGGTAACAGAATTTTTCACTGAGTAGAGCCACTGTTTGCAGGTCACATTAACGCCAAATTCGGCCTGGGGCGGTGATGGTTGTCTGGGATGTGACATTGGCTATGGCTATCTGCATCGTATACCGGGCGATCGAAAAGGCCCATTGAAAGGTGAAGAACTTGCCGCTCTACTTCAGAATCAGTTGAATAATGGTACTGCCAGCTCGCCAACCATGAACAATGGCGACTATGCACGCTCCAACAATTCTGTCACCATTCCGCAACCGGGTAAGCGTGATTCTAGTTATACATGCCAAAAACAAGTACAGCTTGAGCAGATACTTGCTTAGAAGCGCATGGCGTGGCTTTGACGCATGACTACGAATACGTAGAGTCGGAACTGCTTTTAATACTCGAGCTAAGCTGATCCTGGCGTGCCCCTTGTGCTTGACCAATGCCCGGATTAACGTGTAGCCTTCGATTTTACAGAGATACAGTCTCACATACTGAGCGCCCTTACAGAACTGCTTTTCTACATAGTCTTATAAACTATAAACTTTATGTCTTCATAAATTAGTTCGTTGCAGCTGGTCATTTGTTTAGGATTTGGAAGATGGGCTATTTAAAATATGACTGTTTCTTCTTTTTTTTTTTAAACCCCGCTTGTCAATGTAAGACGTAAATTTCAGCCTATTTTCACTTTTTTAACCAAAAAAAGTAAAAAATTAATTTCGTATTCCTGAAAAAAAAAACTCGCAAAATTGTGCTTTTTATGCGTTTTGTGCTGTGTAACAGCGTTACAAAACGCATATTGTCACGGGGTTGTCAGTGTGTGTGTGTGTTTGTGTGTGTGTTTGCGTGTGTGTCCCACATTTTGTCCCGCACTTTCAACTCGGGAACCACAAAAGCTAGGCGGCTGAAATTTTAGCGTAGTACTCTCCGCCAACGGGTGACGCGGCAAATTTAAATTCAGCCTTCCCGTACCTGCGGGTAACTCGTACGGCACCCGCCCACGGGTGACGCGGCAAATTTAAATTCAGCCTTCCCGTACCCGCGGGTAACTTGTAGGGCCCCGTGAAAGTTTTTTACGGGTTTAATATCTCAGGAACCACGGAATCTAAGAGGCTGAAATTTTACGGTAATGACCTCCTGCCCATGCTCAACCTTGCCCATTCAAATTCAGCCTTCCCTTACCCGCGGGTAACACGTACGGCCCCGTGAAAGTTATTCACGGGTAAGTTAATATCTCGGGAACCACGGAGTCTAGAAGACTTAAGTTTTAGGGTAATGACCTTACGGGTAAATTACGGGTAAGTTAATATCTCAGGAACCATGGAGTCTAGAAGGCTGAAATTTTAGGGTAATGACCTCCTGCCCACGCTCAATCTTGCCCATTCAAATTCAGCTTTTCCTTACCCGCGGGTAACACGTACGGCCCCGTGGAAATTTTTTATGGGTAAATTAATATCCCAGAAATCACGGAGTCTAGGATGAAATTTTAAGGTAATGACCCCCTGCCCACACCCAACCTTGCGCATCCAAGTTCATCCTTCTCTTGCCCGCGGGTAACACGTACGGCCCCGTGAAATTTTTTTACGGGTAAGTTATTAGCTCGGGAACCACGAGGTCAAGTAAGCTGAAATTTTAGGGTAATGACCTCCTGCCCACGCTCAACCTTGCCCATTCAAATTCAGCTTTCCCGCGCTCTTTAGTATCACTTACGGCCTCGTGAAAATTTTGGCGGGTAAACTATTAACTCGGGAATCACGGAGAGATATTCACCCTTCAAGTTTCGAATTCAGCTTTCATGCGCTGGTGCGTGAAATTTTTAACTGTTTTCAATGTTTGAACTATTTTTGCATAGACTAAAGTACAAAGTAGTGAAAATCGTCAATAAGCAGTCGTTCGATGGGCTGAATTGCACATAACGCATGATCGCACCGGCTAGTCTGGTGCGCGTTGCTATTTATTGCTTATTGTTTTGCCCCAGATTTTGACAGTCATCGTTAGATTTTAGTGTCTTTCTATAGTATGATGAGGTACAAACATCCCACTTTGCATAAACTGTTTCTGTAAATATTTTCAAACTAACCTGATTCAGACATTTATAGACAAGAACGACATAACTATCCTTTTGTCCCCATCACTCATCGTCGAAGTCCTTTTTTTTCACTAGCGGTACAAAGGCAGCAAAATTTCTTTGTCGCAAAGTAAATTTCATTCTGTGCGCTTGCTTTCTTTATTTTTTCAAAATTTTGTCATCATAGCTTAACTTTATTTTGCATTGTTAGTAGCATGGCAAGAAATGTATTTGCGTTGCATTAGTTAATTTTTCATTTTTTGCAAAGCCAATAGGGCGTCATACTCCACTCCTTCAGTTAACAATATCGATGAAAGGCTAATACATGGTAGTAGAAGTTCAGCGTAATATTTTACACTGTTATGACGCTTTGTTTCAGGCAGCACTGGCATTCCACAGATTGATTCAGTGCAAAGTGTGCCGAAATTTCCAGATCCTAGTACATTTGCTCCACCACCACTGCCACCCAAATTGGTAAAAAAATTTTAGTTCTTTTTTTTTTTTTGAATGTATTATTGTTCTTTTTTGTTTGAACTTCCAAAAAAAATTTTTTTTAGCCTCTTTTGTCGGCTGGTATCCAGAATATGCCAAATGTGTCTGTAGCAGTGGCCTCACGTTCAGCTGAAGTGCGTGATGTCTCACCGGTAGTTCAACAGCAGCCTGCACCTGTTCGTTTCCGAATTTTTTTTTACGTTGGAATTATTTTAATTTTTTAGAGGCACCGTCGTTGTTTTGTGAAAACTCCGAAGAAAATAATAACTTTCTGTTGCTCAATTTACACATTAGGCGCATTTCATACATACACATATTAATTCTTAACTAAGAGGGCATATATCACACGTTTCAGTAAATATGGGAAAAAAAAGTTGTTAGGGATAAAAATGCTGATGCACTAGCAAGTTTAAGATAATAGCAATAGTCCGACTAAACGGCGACTGATCAGTTTCGTCGCTTTCCAGTTGTTAATCAATATTGACGCGTGCCAGGGAATCACATTCTCCACCAGCTTGTTTCTAGACAGCCTCAGGGCGAGGGACTGGCAGCTGTACTAACAAACAGTTTCTGTTCGGCTACTTTCAAGCACCGTTCGCTCTCATTAAATGCGAAATGTTAGGGAATTTTGGTGAATTTTTCTAACACAATTTAGAGGGTGATTTATTGTTCTGAACTTTTTAATAGTTAACTTTGACAGCAATAAAAACTGTTTGAAATTTTTTTGGACAAGTTTCAAACTTAGCTGCTGCTTTTCTTGCAGGCAGCCCCGCCATCGAGCAGTGCTAGCACAAGTACAGTGCGAACCGGACAAAGCATCACTCCTTCGCCTTCACTTGTACAGCAAGAACCACAAAAGCCAGCTGGAACAGTGGAGCAACAGCAGCAGTCTCAAGCTAATCTGGAGTATTCAAGTGCAAACAGGTCATTTATGCAGCAGGATGCGCCTGTGGGAGCCAACAAAATAGAAGTAAGCTTGAAATTTCCAGTTTTATCTCGGATATATTTAGGGCGCAACAGGTTTTTTGATTTAAGATCGTGAAGTGGTTATCACATTTTGACAAGTAATCAGGAGAGCCACTATGACGAGCTTTGCCAGTGGAACGGTTAAGAATAAAGGAGAATTTGATAAAATGCTTTTAAAGCTGATTGGATTATCGATGTGGAGCCTTGGTATGGGAAAATAGCTACGAATTCCCTGAACCTTGCTTCCATTTGCGCATTTTAATGGGCATTTTTGATTTGGTGGCTTCGCATACGATTGAAAAATTTTTCACTTCACAAGATGTAATGAGTGGGTTGTATTTTTGCGCTTTGTACATCTACCAGCGCGCAAAAGTTGTTGTTTGCAAAAGCCACGAATCGTTCCTGTAATACACAGCCAGAAACAGTTGAGGGCATCTGGACAGTGATAAGTGGTTCTTGATATCATATCCCACTAGAAACTGGTCACAACTGATATTTTCTTTTGCTTTTTATTTAAGTTTATGGTTTACGAAGAATTTGAATTTTGCACGCTTAGAATAAACTTCTGACGAGGAAAATGGCTCATACAACTTACTTTCAGTGAAGTCGCTCAGCGAAGTTAGAAACGATGCCATTGGTTGTTGTGTAGGAAAAATTGAAATGTTCTAAAGGCCGCAATTTTTAATAAAAAAGTTGTGATGGAAGGTCACTGATGGTTATGACAAAATAACGGGTTAAGTGGTGCGAATAAGTTCGGAGATGATGCATGTGGTAGTGAATGTGATTTGGGACATTGTGAGGGAGGAAGGCAGGGAAGT